CACTCGCTCGGCTCGTTGAGCTGACGGCGCATGTGCGAGCCTTGTGCCAGACGCGCCAGAGACATAGAGCACGCGCTCTTATTGAGAAGGAACTCCACGAATATGCGAAATGGGCCGAACAAGACGGGGGATACAACAGCCTCGAGTATCTGCCGAACCTCGTTATCGATATGGTGGACACTAAGATGTCACCTCAAGCTATTGAGGAGCATATGCAGTTACGCCTCAAGGCGGCTGCTGCTACCCATCGCGCTCATTGGAGGAATGATCTAGCGAATCCTGACTACCGCGAAGACGAGGATGAAGATGCCGAAATCGAGGACAATAGAGTTGTTCTCGTGCCCGACAAGTATCAGACGCCGTCGCCAAAGAAACCTCGCGCATTGCGCCGCTCGACTTCTCCTAGCAACGGAACCAAATATGAAGATAACCAGAAGGACAAGATACCGGGCTGGAACCTCTTCAGTCCGGCAAGTCAGTGTTCGTATGGGCAGGAAGAACAGTACACCCGCCGGCCGCCCGTGATATATGGACTTTTCATCGTCAACACATCCGTCATGGTACTGACCATTGACTCCGCGAAAGAAGGGGACAAAGCCTGTGTCAGTTACCAGGTCGAAGTTGGTCTCAGCAAAAACTACCAGGCAGTTTGGAACGCCATCACTATCGCCATTGTGGTTTGCCTTGCGAGAGACGCGATGATGGAAATGAAGGTTGACTTCAACACTTCACTTAACGACGGGGACAGCGACCCCGACGCTTGATACGACGGAACGAAGGAACGAGGCTGGCATGCGGTCGTCAGTAGGCCTCGGGCTTTATCTTTATGACTCGTACGACGGGTACTTCTTTGAATGCGTATACCCCTTTCATGATTACGGGCGGACTAGATGCAGATACCCATTTACCTAGTTGATAATGACACAAACTTTGCCAAGCTACCACGCTACCTTAGTACTTGAGACCTTCTCGAAGGACAATGGGTCACCTGACGCACGCTTGCCATTGTTTCTATTCTCAGGTAGATATTCCGCGGGCTCAGCCAAGAAGACAGCAGGCATGATATGATGAATGAAAGGCCCGAGATGACATTTTAGAATGAGGCGATTGGCTAACAATTGTCGGGAGATGGATGCGAGCCTCGGCAAGCCACTCGACTTTTTCTGGGCACTGTGGAGAGGAAAAAAAAAGTGCCCCAACCCACGAGATTTTCAACAAGCCTTTTTTTTATCACCGAACAAGACCGCGTATCTCGCCTCGGATCCGGCAATTTGACTTCACCTTAGTTGCTGATGCCCGCTTCGAACGTCTCACCAGTTATACGAAACCTCCGCAGATAGACAATTTGACAAACGACAAGAAATTAAACCGCTGCAAGCTCGGCGTTAATTGCATCTCGGCGCCGCGAGACGTTGAGGAGGTTCGGTCACCGAGGGCGGAGGGGTCGTCGATTGGGGAAACGCATCCATGGATCTCGGAACTTGGAAGGAGGTGGAAGCTCAAGCCACCACACACAACAACGTCAAATTACACTGCCGCTGCGGGTTGCATTGTTATCATTGATCATCCGGTCTGATCAATGGCCCTTGCTCCTATCACCGAGGGGAGGTCCCTGTAAGACCTCGGGATTACGTATTTGCTCGCAGGAAGGAAAACGAAGAAAAGGAAAAAAACGCAAAGGCGTTTTTGGGGGTGGAAATGGGGGAACTGGCATGACCCCCGATTGCCTCATTCGTCACCGCCTTGAAAGGACCCTGTCAGCTTATTCATGTCGATTGTCACTGGACGGGATGGAAGAAGGCTCGCCAGTTACTCGGACCCGGACTCCGGTCCTTGGTCCACCCGCTGCAGGTTTGATGGGCCATGGTTCTTGCCTTCTGGGACTTCTGGAGCCAGGTACCTTCTTTTTTGTCATCTTTTTCTTTCCGTCTACTTCTTTCGGTACCGAGGCGCTAATGGAGAAAAAGGTCCTACAGACTACAAGAGAAGGAACGGGCACGTGTACGTAGTATACCGTGGGGTGGAATGATAGGTCAAGAGCCCAAGTTGAACGAATATCTCTGGATCTTCGATTTGCCCTTTGTCATGACCGGGGAAACTGGAATCTCGCATCTTCCTCTGCCTACTCGGTGTCTCAACTTTTGCCTGCGCTAGCCGTGGCGGAAGGGTGTAAGTCGCATCCCCGGGAGGCCTTGCTTCGACAAGACTTGCCAGGGCTTACAGCATCTCACCTGTATTCGTACGTCCGCTCTGTGTCGGAGAGCCGACCTCGTCGGGTGTGTTGCATTGCATCTTTGGGGGGGCGGATGGCTTACACTACTCGGACAGCCCTGTTTCGATTCCAGAGCACTGGGGGACACATACCTTACTGCGCACCCGCGAACACAAGAACACATGGGCGAGCGTCTACTGGCAACTGGAACCGGAGACCGAGCTGGCGGGCAGGAGATGGCACCTGGGGCCCTGGGCTCCTGGGGTCGTCGCCTTGGGTTAGGTTGGCCCCCCATTCGAGGTGCTGCATCTCGCTTCGGCCGGCGGAAGAGTGCCGGTGATGTGAGAGATGATGCAGCTGTAGGATGCTGGGACCTGGGTCGACACACCCTCACGAGGTCTCTAGGCACAGCTATTCCTACGCCGCACAATGGTGCTTTTTCAGCTGCCATACCGCTTATTCGAATAGGAATAGGTAAGGTAGGATGATATCCTTTCTTCTTACACGAGCAAAGCTGACGCCTCACACACAGTAGAGGGATGTCAGCACACTGCAGTATCAGTCGGTGAAGCATGCTCTGAAATACGACAGGAAGATGACCTGATGGGACTACCTACCTGACTGGTGCTACGTTCACAAACACACGCGTGTCAGTCGAAGCCAATGCTGCGCTAGGCAGGGCCGTCACACTCGGCTTTAAGGTTACCGCAACAAATTCTTCGTCAATTCCGTCCTGGTCGCGGGGTGGACAGCGAAGGGCCCCCCTCCAAGGGTTTGGCGCAGCATTGACATGGAGACGGCGTATGTTCGCCAGACGTGCCGATTGATCCATTCCAGAGTCAAGCAAATCAAAGGTGGTGTCCACCGTCCGCTAGATGGAGTCGCAGCGAACCGGCGTCTTCCCCCCCAGTACCCAGTTGCTAGCATCCAGCAGCCAGCACAAGCAGGGAAGTCTGGGCGACGCCAGCCCGGGAAAGGCTAATTACGCCGTATTGTTCGGGACTAGACCTAGACTCTGGGTACTTATCGTCTCATAGGGCCCCTGCCTGTCGCTATCGTGGTTCTAATGTTTGGTGACTGGTCTGGAGGGATCTTGGTTGTGGTGTCTTGGTCACAATCTGCTTTCGTCAAAGGATTTGAGAGAGAGTGAGAGAGATATGGCCAGATATCGGAACAAGATTCATGGATGAAGAGGTACTCAACCTCGTGGCACCAGGCAAGATGACGAAACAGCCGAAGCACTATTTTCCTGACATACGCGGAAACCGTAAAAAGTTGATACGTACACAGATTAAGTCCTATCCTTGGATCACTGAAGGAAAGAAGAGAAAGAGAGAGAAAAAAAGTCTCTTGGACCCAAGTGCCATCAATGCCGCGATGTTGGACGCAGCTAGGTGGATTTTTGGACCGGCGGGTGGATTAGAAGACATCGAAGCCCCCTGTCACCCTTGTCGTTGTGCCTTAGCGACATTCCTCCTCACGGCCAATCAGCGACTACCTGTTGTAATCCGTGACCTCTCAGCTCAGATCACCCACGGTGACCCAACACCTGGGCTCCGATTTTCCCCCATTTGTCGTCCGTCACTCGTCATTGGGAAGCGAGAGAGGAGAGAGCCCAGACGCGGACGCAGCAGATTAGTCGCAGGCAGGAGCCGTAGCGTGGGCTGTCCAGTCTGTTCTCGTGATTTTCTGCCACCACCTCACGCACTTCCAGCGCCGCGGTTCCTCCTCGTCCCTCACATCATCGCCGCCCTACGCAAGTACTGGCACACCTCACCTACAAGCGGCCTCGACTACACTCACACTAGACCAACACCCGCCCCTGTCCAAGATCAACACAGGTTCACTACGCTTCCAGTCTGGCTTCCACCGTTCCAGAATTCTGGCCTGCTTCTCGACATCAAGCAACCTCCCACCCCCCTTTCCCACATAACTGTTCCCCCCAAGAGCCCACCAAACACCTGCCGATACCTCTTTCACCGCCCGGTGAACCCTCTAGAGGAACTCGCTGCCCTTCCCGTCGACGAGGGGCTCTTACATGTCTGTCAACACCAGCAACGCCGGTTGTTTTCTCCTCAGCATGCACTCGAAATCACCATCATTACCCTCCTAGGCTCCCGTGCGCTTTCTCTCACCTCTTCTGCAACATTCTCACACCCCCCCCTCTTCCTGGTAGAGCAGAAGAAACCGAATCCGGGGCTGTAGAAGAAACCGACCCCTGGCGTACAGTAGGCCCCTCAGCCTCTCACACCACACTGTGTACCTCGTAAGAAGCATCAGCACCTAGAGACCTCTCTCTGTTGCCCTGGATCAACGGTGGCGACCCTCTGGTGCTTGTTTCCTTCCCCCGGCCTCCGATTCCGCCTTCTTGCTCCGTCAGCCGGTCTTCCACAGCCACTTCCTGACGTTGTCGTCTACTCGAGGACGGGCCAATCCCTTTCCCTGACCCTCTCCTCCTCCGGACTGCCGACCGTCGAACCACCTTTTGCACCGTGGTGGGGTTGTCTAAGTTTGACTCGGGCCCTACTTCTCTCCTACTTCTTTATACGCCATCCTACGACCGTCTCGCCGCTAGTTATCTCCTTCCTCCTCCGAAGCCGTTTCCTTTCTCCGGGCCAAGCATTATCTCTGCCTAACGAAGTCATCAAATCAACGTACTCGATACCCCCTTTCCTACTCGCCAAGGTCCTCTTACACTTCGCCTCGACTAGTACACACGTCTTCTGCTGCTTTCAATACCACCTACCGTTAGTACATCCCACCTCGACCGAAACCACGCTCTCCACGAATGGCTATGGCCGATGGCATGTCGTCGGCGGCACAGGGGACGGCGAAACAGCCCCCCTCGACCATCCGAACCGCTCTCCCATCTCGACGCATGTCCCCCAAGGCCCGCGAAGGAGGGCAGTACGCTGTCGTGGAGCAGGCGAGAGGCCCCAGTCCAGTAGGCCGAGGCGAGAGCCTTGAGGGACCAGCGACCTTGCGGCCAAACTCCCGACGCAGTCCGTCGAGCGACGCCATGTCGAGGTCACAGGCCAGGAGTCCGGTCTCAGTATCCAGTGATGGCTCCCCGAAAGACGTGAGATCAGAACCAAGACCCAGCCCGGCACCGTCAACGGCGACAACGTCTTCATCAGGCCAGACGGGTCAAGTCTGCAGGTAAGAGGGCGACGGGCTTCTTTCCAAACCCCTTTGAACCGTTTGCTGACCGATTACAGTAATTGTGGTACAACACGAACGCCGTTGTGGAGGAGATCTCCCCAGGGAACGACAATATGCAACGCTTGTGGCCTATATCAGAAGGCGAGAAACGCATCACGCCCAACTAACCTCAAGAAACCCCCTCATCTGGTTGCTGCGGCACCAAGGACGGCTCCCCCAAAGATTGCGCCAGCACCAGGCCCAGGCCCGAAATATCTCAGTGCTCCCGCTCCAACGTATGTTACAGAGGAGCAGGCGCCATCAGGCACCTGCCCTGGTGGTGGAAAGTGCAACGGTACCGGCGGTGCGGAAGGCTGCAGTGGTTGTCCTGCGTACAACAATCGAGTATCGAAGTCCGCCCATCTAAACGTTCAGGGGCAAGGTGGTTGCGGTGGTGGCGGCGGCGGCGGTTCGTCTAGCCAATCTCAGGGCGAACCCATGGCCGTAGACGACCCTGTTGCTCCTGTCGATATCGCTGCTCTGCAAATACAGCAAGCACAAAACCCGAATCACACCGTTGTGATCGCCTGCCAAAACTGCGGCACTACCATCACCCCGCTATGGAGACGAGACGAAAGTGGCCACACGATCTGCAATGCTTGCGGTACGTGCCGTCTTTTTTCTGGAGAAATCTTCGACATGCTGACATAAACAGGTCTTTACTACAAACTTCACGGAGTTCACCGGCCTGTGACTATGAAGAAGTCGATCATCAAGAGACGGAAACGAGTGATACCATCTTCGTTTGGCGGCGAATGGACAGAAGAGATGCTGGAGGGTTCGGAGACGCAGAGCGTGGCACCAGAGGGAAGCCCGGAAAGGGGCACGATGAACGAGGACGGATCCATCAATTTGGGCTTTCGGCGTCGGGAAGAGAATCCTGCCACCATGCTTCCAGATCCACTTATGCGTCCAAATCGACAGGGCTCGCCGCTGCCTTCGCATGACTTGACTGCGTATCAGTCTTCGGGTTCCCGAACTTCGAACCCCTATCCGGGATCGCTGAACGACGATAACCGCCTTGCTCCGATTACATCGCTCGCCGCCATGGGAGAACGCCAACCCTCTCTGTCACCTGGTTCTTTCTTGTCTCCATCGAGGAAAAGATCACTTTCTGCGGAAGGAAATCCGTCTGGCGACGGCGGACCAGACACGTCCAAGCGACTATCGTCCATCAAGTCAATCCTCAACCCCACAACGGCAGATGACAACCCGGCGTACCACTCGGGTAGCGATGACGCCGCGGAACATTATGCCCGATCTGCTATGTCGCCGGCCGCCTCCGCACCGAGTCCAGGATCCTACTCGAATGCTCACATGACGCCTCTTCCATCGCCTGGACCGAGCAGTCAGACGAGCAATCCAGGGTTCAGACCAGAAAACGAAAGGGTCAAGGCGGAGAAGAGGGCAGCATTGATTCGGGAGGCTGAACGAATGAGGGAGATGTTGGCAGCGAAGGAGAAGGAGCTAGCGGACATGGGAAACTACTGAAAGTTCCATCACGATACAAACGAACCACGGGATCATCGGACACTGATTTTATTGGGGCAATATGGGCACACACACATCATGGCTTGGAGTTCCTTTTTGTGCAAAGCGTTCGGCTGGGGCCGTCTATTCCATCACCAAACAGGTTGAAGCTATTCTTCCATTTCACGGTTTCACCAGGGGCGAACGAGAAAAACAAAAACGGACGGGGTCTGGCCTTACACAAAATGGGAGAGGATGATTGTTTTTGGGACGCATTTTGGCGGCCACTCAACAAAAAATGGCATCTTTCTTTACAGGGTGTTTTTCTCCGACTCACGAAGAGGGCGTTTTCTTCTGTTTACAACAAACCGAATGGAATTACAAAATGGAATTTTCGCGCGCGAGGGAGGGAGATGGGAATATTCCCGCGGCGGACTAGGAGTTTTTTTCTTTTCTTCGTCGTTTAGGGTGGATGGGATTTCAAATGGTGTTTATTGACAGATTACCGAACCATTTGCAAAGTGGTTACCCGGAGAGAGGAATCAGAGAGGTGGGAGGCATTCGGGAAGACTTCGTGTCCTATGGCACGAATAGGGACGAAAACCGGCATGGCAAAAGGCGTCTTTGGATGCTATAGGGCGGGCGTATGTAGTAGCCCTTCTTTCCCATCGGAAGTCTGCGCGTCGAAATATCAAAAGCTGAAGCAATCAATGTACTTTGCTCGCATGGTTTTTAGTTGCTTACAGAACAATGGGATTGCCCCCCTTTTTCACTAGAAATCTACCTTTCAGTTACCGTGAACCATAAGTGACCAAGGTTTCGCTCAAACCTTGTACCGCGGATACTGCAATGGTGTACCACCCGCAATCACATCACAGAGGCTGGACTCTTCTTGGACATCATGTGAATGAGAGGCAGTGTGGGTAAGGCTTCTGGAGGGCAAAAATCAGGTCTGTTACGACTAGCCATTGCGGATCCCAAACAATACCCTACTTTTCCCGGCCTCCCTTTCTCCTTTACACCATCTAAGAAAAAGTCATACAAGGTGCCACTGGACCTGGCACAGTCTTCCGTCGTACAAGTCGAAACGCAATGAAGCATATGCTCTTTCCCTACACAACACACACACACACACACTCAACCTTCGTGCCTTACAGTGGTGAATACACACAATATACAGCCTGCCCGGTGGGGCCAAACATCATAAGGGAGCTTCTCGTCGAAATTTCCCACACTGTCGTTCCTACTTGGTCGCCTCTCTTCTCGTTTCTTTTCTTCCCCATTGTCATGGATGAAGCTGAAGATTTGGTTGTCGTGATCGTTTTGCGCGATGTCGAGTTCCCCGTCTCTTTTCAGTATCTTGAGTTTCGAAAGAAAAAAAGCCTCAGCAAATCCGGTTCATTGTCTTGTTTCGCGAATTGTAAAACGGGGAAAAAGAATCCTTGCCTTTCTCCTCTTCCAACGGTTTCAATGTTGGGAGAGTGCAAAAGGCATCCGAGATGAAATTTGGTTTCTTTGTGTGGTTGAAAAGGGGCTGCTAGCTTACACCTGCTCTGCGCCCCAGCCGCCGTCGGCCTCGCGCATGTTGGCTGGCGGCTCGATCTGGGGAACAAACTCGAGGACGACGTAGGCGACGCCAATAAGGCCGACAATAGAGCCGGCAATGATCTTGAAAACGCCGTCGGAGAGGAGGATGGAACCGATGAAAATGTAGACTGTGAGGAAGGAGGTCGCATTAGAACCAGTGTGCATCGACTGTGAGAACTATTCGAGGGGGGCTTTGAAACTTACAGACACCACGGCCAACGAAAGAGAAGAGGAATGAGGCGTAACGGGAGACTTGGGGAGGGATTTGGAACTCTGGTACTTTGTTAGAGGAGCTTCAGAGATGGAGGATTCGTGTTCATATACCAAGCAGAGCGGTGCCTAATCAAGTCGCATTAGCCATGTCACTACCAAGAATGCATCCTATAAAAGCTTCAGGAGGGGCGGAATTCTTACAGAGACCGAAGATGATCACGTAGGCACCAACAATGATACCCTGGCTACACAGGCAGATTTGTCAGTATATAGTCATCGAATTGCTATGCCAACAAATGTCTCCTTCGTCACGATGAAGGGGTTTGGCTGTCACACGAAGAAACCGTGCGCGCGCGCAAGTCGAGGTCGTGGGCAGGGGAGGTCCGTCGGGGGGATCGGATACGACGTACAAGTTGAAGTTGAAGAATTGGGCAATGCCGCCCAGGACCATGATGGTCGCGGTAGCCAAGTTGACGATACGGCTGATGCGAATGACGCCTGGTTAGCTTTTTGCGCATGCGCAGGATAGCTACTGGGTAGCTACCGCATCGCAGCAAAGACTAGGGACCACATACAAGGCGTCGGAAAGCTCCATTTTGGCGAGTTGTGGATTGTGTTACTGTCGGGTATGGACGGAGATTCGAGGGCGGAGAGCGAGCGAGGTGGATGAGAGAAGAAGGAGGGAAGCTGGCGTGGATGAAGCGGCCAGGCAGCTAGATATCTCGGGTTTGGAAGAAAGATGTGTTGTGATGTGGGTGTGGGTGCGAAGAAGAAGCAAGGTGGGTGCAAGGTGTGACGTCCGGACAAGAGGCTGACGAGTCAAGGTCCGTAACTCTTTGGCTCCTGAAGCTCCTGGCAGATAGAAGGAGTGTGCTGGTGGATACTTGATGGAGCAAGTATATCTACCCGGCACTGTTACACGTAGCCAGCGCAAATCACAAGTACCGAGAAGTCGCAGCGGCCAGCACCAGCCACACAAACCCCCAGCCTCTTCTGAGGGAGGTCACTGACTTGACACTGACATCCGCTCTGGCAGGAACGAGCCAAAGCTCTGTTGACCGCCTTCCTGTCTTGGACTACATGGGTGTACGAACATCTGCTGCGTGGATTGGTCGATTGCCGACTGCTCAAAGTCAAAGTGCAGTCCATGAAAGAGCTCTTATGCCATCAGGTTATGAACAGTTTCATCCATGATCTGACCTGACGACATTTGCGACGTCGTTTGCTGTTCGCGCTTATTTCATGACACTCTAAAATGTAATTGGAGCCCATCGCAACCTTTCTCGTTTGTATTTTGTACTACAAAAAACGCATATTTGATGGTCTAGTCATGCTGGTCTTTCGAGCTTCAGTGCCCAGGCAAAGCCATGTCGGCCGGTTCCCAGGGCGGTCTTACATCGCTGGGATCGTGAGCTTCCGAAGATCAATACACACACCTCCGGTGCAATCGAAGCATCGGTCTCCTATCAAGGATATCAGAAACATTGGAATCATTGCCCATGTCGATGCTGTGCGTATTTAGTCGCCTTTTGAGCTTCACTGATATGATGGCTAATTGGTTTTCAGGGCAAAACCACAACGACTGAGCGCATGTTGTATTATAGCGGCGTGACTCGCCGAGTTGGAGGTACGTAAGAGCCATTTAACCTTGCAATCGTTTTTCATATCGACATTCTCTCTCTCGCGAAATTGAATGAGAGCTGTGGCGGCGGCAAGTATGTAGCAGGACCCCCCTTGGCTGACCACAACACTGTAGACGTCGATGCAGGAAACACTGTGACTGACTTCCTCGACCTGGAGCGGGAACGAGGTATCACAATTCAGTCAGCAGCCATCACTTTCAACTGGCCCCTTCACGAGGAATGCGCCCCAGGCACAACCCCCAAAACGATCAATCTTATCGACACACCAGGTCACCAAGACTTCAGATTTGAGGTCGACAGGTGTCTGCCCGTTCTTGACGGAGCTGTGTGTATTATCGACTCAGTGAAAGGCGTAGAAGCTCATACGGAGAGAGTATGGGCTTCAGCACATGACCACAAGATCCCTCGCATTGTCTTCGTCAACAAGCTCGACCGAGACGGTGCTTCATTTCGAAAATCTGTGTTGGAAATCGGGTCACGTTTGAACGGGTGGCCACTTGTATGCCAAATTCCGTGGTGGGAAGGCGACCAGTTTGTCGGTGTCATCGACGTCATGGACCGAGTTGGATATCGGTGGAAGGCAGAGAAGCAGAAGACGAAGTACGAGTTCGCGGAACTACAAGAGGTGCTCAAGGGCAACTATCTTCTCGATGAGATTGAGACAGCTCGCGAGCGGCTCATTGAAGGCCTCGCTGAATGGGATGAGTCCATTATGGACCTGTTCGCAGACGATCCAAGCAAAATCACAGGCAAGATGTTGAAAGACAGCGTTCGAAGCGCCATCCGCAGCGGCGACGGAAACGTCATTCCCGTTCTAGCAGGTGCCAGCTTCCGGCACATTGGTGTCGAGCCCCTGATGGACGCCATCGTCGACTACCTTCCCAGTCCTGACGAACGCCCTGACCTTGAGATCCGTGCCGGGCCGGCAAAGCACAACCTCACTACGCTACTCGATCAGAACTCGAGTAAGAAGCCAGGTCAGCAGCGTGTGGCAGCAGTCGCCTCCGTTTTCAAGGTCTATAATCACCCCAAAGAGGGGATCCTGAGCTTCGTCCGGGTCTACTTTGGCGAACTTCACAAGAACTCGTCAACCTGGAATACGCATAACCAGCTCGCAGAGCGTCCGTTCGGCTTGTTGCAAATATCCGCGGAAAAAACCGAAGATGTACAACACCTCGCCACGGGTCAGATTGGCGCCATCAAGGGTCTGAAGAAGGCTCGGACGGGCGACACGCTGCTCGCCACTGTTGCTCAGAAGCAGATCCCGGATGCCCTCAAGCATATCCAAATCAGACCACCGGAAATTCCCCCGCCTGTAGCTTTCCTCGCGATTGACCCCCACGGGCCTGCAGCTTCCAAGGAGCTAGAGATCGCGCTCGACAATGCTTCACGAGAAGATCCCAGCTTGAGATGGAGCCGTGACGAGAAGACGGAGCAGTTCATTCTGCAGGGTATGGGCAAACTCCACCTTGATATCGCCGTCTATAACCTCAAGCAGAACCCCAAGGTGCAAGCCGACTTCGGCCCTATCGAGGTCGATTATAAAGAGTGTATCACATCCTCAATCGGACCGCATCATGTCACCTTTGACAGGGTCGTCGCAAGTAAGTCGGGCAAAGTATCATGCACAGCGACTCTGGAACCTCTGGAAGATCACTACCGCCAAGCCGCACTTGAGCCAACTATCGAACGCGATGGGAACATGATTCATGTAATCATCGATCTTCCCGAAGAAGGCAATATCGCCTTCGATCCCGAGGAAGCCCGACAGCAACTCATCAACGGCGCCGTCGCAGCTGTGGCCCGCGGCCCGCGTCGTGGCTCCCCCGTTCAAGGCTGCCACATCACCATCACTGTCGACGCCGCAGCTGCCGAGAGCCCATCCGGTGGACACTTCGCCGGCGCAGCATCTCGAGCCGTGCGCGAGGCACTCCGCGAGGCCCACATCACAAGAGGTGCGGTGGGCGTCCTCGAGCCCGTCATGCTTCTACACATTAGCTGTCCCGAGGCAGCCGCGGGCTTGGTGCAGCACGACATCAGCTCGGGAGCCGGCGGGCACGTGCTGGAAGTCAATGACAAGTCTGCCGAGTCGAGTTCGCACATCGACGTCAGCAGTATCTACGCGCCACCAGATCCATACGAGATTGTGGCTTCGCTGAGGGGGAAGAAGTCGTTGGCGAGGACGGTGGAGATCGTAGCCAAGGTGCCGTTCAAGGAGGTCTTGAACTTTGACGAGCAGCTGAGAGGCAAGACTGGCGGAAGACACTCGATGACGATGGCCTTTGATAGTTTTGATCGTGTCGTTGGCCAACGAGAGAAGGCTTTGTAAAGATAGAAAGTGTATATGTACTATATAGAGCAGAAAGCTTAAGAGGCCGTAGGATCCCGGATACCCTCTCCACCTTCCCTAACGTGTTGCGCAATCCGTCGAGAATGGCGTTTGCCTATACAATACTCCTAAATCACCGACTGGTGAGATAGTATGTAGTCTGAATACACAGACTAACTACGATGTCGCTGGACAGGTGCAATTTTCTGACTAAGCAGCACAGAAGTCGTCAATAGTAGGAGACGCAACCCTAACGAAGTTTATTGAGCCAAAACAAAAGGAATTAGAGAATCTCGTTCAAAAGGAGCACATCGCCGTAAAATGCAAAAGATTGTCTAGCACAACCTGGTTTCGATCCAGGGACCTCTGGGTTATGAGCCCAGCGCTCTACCCCTGAGCTATTGTGCTCAGGCTTGTTGATGAAAATTTTGGTGGCTTTGCAACCCATATCTCGCTCAGTAGTGGAGCTGTGACTCACACACCCTCAACCAATGGTTCACCACGTCTCTTCGACCACTCATCTTCTTCGTCTGCTCTACTTCATCTCTGCTCAAGAAAAACGACTGGCCATTTGTCATAGATTAGCTGGCTGTACTCAATAATCTCTCAAAATTATATCTTGGATGTCTCGTTAACCTTGCTACCCGAATCACGTCCAACTGTAGGGATATGGGGGTAGATATCCTCGAAAGACTGCACGTCGTATGGCTCGGCACCCGCGATCCTCGTCGCATCAACCCAATCCCCATGTAGAGCGGCACGAAGACGTTGAATTCGCAGTCAGATGGTGGCGCAAAATTAGACTAGGTTTTTAGGTGTTACTCACGGAAGGGCAGAATGACCTTGGCAGCAACTGTTTGGAAATCGCGCGTGTCTTGGAATATCTACCAAGGGGATGAGATTACCATTACTAGACAGTTTGGGGAACCCTCCTCGCGGCTTTTGAACTTGACACCTCACTTCTACCAAGGTCCATGTTAGCTGCCATGGTGATGAGGAATCCATCGGCCTCTGGCACATCAAGCTCGGGGACGTTCACTGGTAGTTCCTCGGCGCCGACGGCCTGTCTGATGAAGTTGATGGAATATTGAGCAGCGAGACGAGCAGCGCAGCTAAGGACTTTATCCGGCTCGGTGGCCCTGTTTTCATGCGCAACGAAAGGCGCTTGGTCGGGCTTCCTTCCCCTGCTTTACATGCTTTGTGAGAGCCTTGGAGACCCCTATGCTGTTACTGAGCCTCATGTAAGCGGTGTAGGAGGGGCAGTCCAATGACGAAACGGAATACTTCTCTGATACACATATCTCAGGCATGAAATCCAGACCGTGCACATTACTTTGTGCCTACTTAGAAACACCGCGCCTCAACTTGGTTTCTTTCGATAAACTCAAGATCTGGCTTGCGAATACTTGATAGAGAGATCATATCTTTGGACTGAGCTGTAAGTCAAAGTTTCCTTGACTAAATTCTCCGCAATTTTACCCAAGGTATCATCAGTCGGGCGTCAAAATAGTTACCATTGATACAGGCGAGACCATTCCAGACCTGCTACCGGGTAAAATATCTGCCATGGAGATTCGCCGTCTTCGAGTAAGTGCTGCGACAAAACTCCGAATCCGCCTCCAGGCCTGTGAAGCCATCTTATCATCATCGTACAGTAGAGCTATAAGGAATGATACGAAGTTTGTCGATTCTAGGGCAAGTATGTGGATTTCCAGATTTGCGAGCCAAGAGACTTTCTCCTCATATTCGTTGATGATTTGATTCAACACCTCTATTATTCAGCCTAGCAAAAGTCTAATCACCATAACCTCTGGAAACTACACCATGGATCTGGCGAGGTTCGCAGCTAGCCTCACCTCCAAAGCGCTGCCAAAGAGCTTATACAGCTCTCTCCCTATTCTTGTGCTCCACATCGTCACAGCCATGCTGACCGGCATGGTTCAACCTGTCTACAAGTCTTCGACGGAGGCACTAACAACTATCCACGGCAACGGCGGACCCCAGTCAGTCGCAGCCATAGACGGCTTAGAGACCACAATCTTTGGCGCGATGTATCTCAACGGTATCGCAGCCGGCGCATTCCAAATAGAGCATGTCCTGCTGAACGCGCATCCGTCCTCCTCCGTCCTCCCCGCTCTGCTAGTCTACGCCTCCGCTAGGAACGCAACCACCACCGGCGAGGACTTCCTCACCGCGCTCGCCGCAGGGTATAAAGTCTGCGCGCGTATCGGCCTCGCGTCAGGCGCCTCAGTAGAAGACGAGCGCGGATTCCACAACCCGGCCATCAACGGGCAGCTCGCAGCCGTGGCGGCGGTCGGTAACCTCCTCGGCTGGGACGCTGAGACCATTGCCTCCGCCATGGGGTTCGCGGCGTCGAGCTCGGGCGGGCTCGTGGCTTTCCAGACGACAGATGCCAAGACAAAGCAGATTCATCCGGGCCACGGCAGGCCTTTGGGCATCGAGGCTGCGCTCATGGCCCACGCCGGTGTTACGGGTCCGCCTGGTGTCTTGGAGAACGAGATGGGGTTTCTGCACGCTTTCTCGACGGAACCGAACGCCACCGCTCTCACGGATCCGATCGGTGACCGATGGGATTGCGAGGCGACGACGGCGAAGCACTACCCCATGCACTCGAGATTCCAGACGCTCGTCTCCGTCATCCAGGATTACAAGAAGCAAGACCCTTGGGACAAGGAGATCAAGGGTGTCACAGCCTACGTCGGCCCTCGCCTATTGCGACAAGCGCATCAGATCGCTCACCCCGAGACACTAGACCAAGCACAGTACAGCATCCTGTTCTGCCTCGCCGCCTCGGTACTGCTGGACTTGAGCAGTCCGTTTGTTTTCAACGACACGCTGTCATCCAACTCAGGATCATCCCCAAGTTTCTGGTTCTGCGCCTTGTCCTCCTCACGAAGCTGGTCAAAGCTAGCCTTCAGATCTTCACTCGGCACCAGCTTCCTCGACTTAAGTACGAACTTGTCAAGCTTCTTGTTCAGCTCCTTGGTATCGTGTTCATCGAAAGCATCAGCGATATCCTCAATGATGGTCTGTGAGGTCAAAGTCAGCGTCAAAGTTTTTCAAACAGGTCAATGTAGAATTGATAGGTAGAGATGTGTAAGCCTGTGCCGTCAGCTTAGCCTGGTGTGCATGGAGCCGAACTGTGGCGAGTTGCTGGATTCCGTCCTTCATCTTTTCGGCCATCTGGTGCTCTTGGTACTCCCTGGAAGCCCAAGTAGCATCCATGATGACGCCCATCACGATCACTCCGTACTTCACGCATTCATGTTAGGGCACAGCTCCAAGGTTAGAAAGAACCAGACAACAGGAAGACTCACAATTCAACTTCTGACCATTCCCCTTGCCCCGGCTGCTGTCTCAGCTGCGACCTTCTCTGCATCACTCAATCCATTCAGTGCAAGCTTCTCCTGGGCTGCAGAAAAGTTTGCAAGCTTCTCTGCACTCCATCGATTCGCCAAGTCGGCCGGCAACTTGCTGCCAAACGTAGACGAGGTCTACACCCAGCTCTTTGGGGGAGACGCATAGGGAGGGGCTTGGGTTGGAGATGATCCATCTCTGGAACAGATGAAGAGTATGCACGATGATGAGATGAGGGATCGTAACAGTTAGTCCTGGTCTCACATTGAGCATAGATGCGTTCAAACACATGTAGTATCACAGTACTCGGTATGAAATTTGGCATATATGTACGGAGTAGTCGTGACAGGAACCCCAAGAAAAGAGGCTGCATGACTTGGAGAAGTCCCCTGCACAATATGGCCTCTTCCTTGTGCACAAGGAGAAAGTTATCCTCACTCAGTATTGGAAGAACCGCAGGATGTTCCAATGTAGACACACACGAAGAAGACCTTTCCCGAGAGTACCTACTGAACGACACAATCCATTCTTCATCAAAAACAAAACAAACAAACACATGCAACACCAGGCATTCGCCAGTCGTCACCGACCTGACTACTACTCTGGCCCTCACCGGCTTGTCTATGGGAGAGCGGACGGGATCCCGAATTCTCCGGTGGGTATGGTCGCATGTGATGTTCACTGGGTTGGGGACGGCCCAAGTGCACGTGAGCGTCTTGGGCTTCCTCGGTTGGGGTCGAAAGTAAATAATACCAATGCCAATAGAAACAGCTCTTCGGTGTAGGATTCCATGTTTCGGTCGTACCGGCAAGCTGCTGAACTTACCTTGCTTAGCGGTATATCTATGGAAGTCGATATCCCGAAGGAACTGGAACCCCTCCCACTACACTCGGATGCCACTGGCTCCATTTCCAGCCCAGCGGGAATTGGAGGAGCTCCAGCTCTCTTCAAGCCGGAGGAGCCAATAGTTACGTGGATGTCTTTTTTCCAGATCGTAATGGAGACTGTGGGGGTAGGGCGTTAGATTCTTGTCGGTGAAGGACGAATCCACCGGTCTTGCGTCTTTGTCATCTCGGTATTGACCGAGCCGACACCAAAATGTCTTTGTTGAGGGAGCAATGAAGAATATCCTTCGAATACACTCCTGAGTCTGACTGTATTCAGATTCCTGGCTGTTCCCCAGACCCGATAAGCACTATGCTTATGAAGCTTGAGTGTGTGTATCTACAAACGGAGTGAGTAAGACGGTTTTCGACCACTGTGTCGTATACCAGCCTCAGCGAATAATCCAAAGATCCGAACAACGACTCAAATACTCAACAGTTACAGCAGGGTCGAATTCACTTTTCGTAGACAGCTGCTGTGAACTCTTGACTTTGGTTGTTGATCAAGGGGCCCACACCGCAGGCAAAAGCTACCAACAGCCAGAGCTCATGAAAACAACGATATCCACTGGCGTCATACAACGGGAGACCACGACATATGAACATTAATTCTGTCCAACATCAAAGGCGCCTGTCCCAGCCCACGTGGTCGCATCCCACCTGACCCGGAGCGACTCTGATCCGCGAGGCGTAGATCAGGGAAACAAGACCGACCAGCCGGGTTGCGACCCTGCTGGAGATCCTTCGGTGCAAGGGTATGTGAGTAGTGGTGTTGCTTGCTAAGGAAACAAAATGGAATCATTTTCCTGTCAAACAACTTTTCTTGGGATGAATAACAAAATAACGTGCGCATCTTGGCTGTCTCCTTCCCCTGTTATTTTTAGGTTGGGACGACAGAGAAAACAAGCGCCGGAGGGAGAGGGAGGTCGGTTTGGCGGGTGCACGTTGCACAGCCGACATGTGGGTCCCGGGTAGACGTCTCCGAGAAGCGCAGCAACGAATGAAAAGACGCATTCACCGGCGCTACTCAGGGCTGAGCCTATGCGTGATTGGATCAGAGACCCGCGGCCGCAGGAAACATTTCTCCCCGTCGTCCCAAAAACAAACGCCGACCGGGATTACCAATTCAACATCCCCCATCCCCATCCTCCATCCTGCTTCTCCGACCTCGTGGCCGATGTAGTCCAACGACCCAACTCCGCGCTAGTGCTGACAAGTTGACAACGAAAGAAACAGAATTCCAAGCCCTGCACGCCGAACTGGGCCACCCTGTCAATTCTTACCGGACTACACTGCTCCCGAGGAAGAACTTTGTGAGCCATGGCACGTGGGAGCCGTGCCTTTCCATTTTGGTCTGCGTCTTGTCATCTTGAAAGGCTACCTTGGCCGGCTAGCGAGTGAGTGGTTTTTGCTGCGGACAGGATGAGAGTTGAGCCGAACGTTGGTCGAGAGCTAAGCCTAGCCATCTTCCAAGACCATGCGGGATGGCTTTTGGTCGACGATGGATGGACCTCGAGGTTGGATGACATCCCAAATTAGACTACGCACACCAACTTGTGAACTGCTCATGTTCATCCCGTTTGAATAGATGGGATTCCAGTATATAACTAGACGTCAGACCCCGCTCTGACGATGGCTTCTCTCTTGCATCTCATCATACAGTGAACGCATAAAAGCACCATCTCATATTTCCTTGAGTCTAATATACTTGTCTCCCTTCCTACTTTGACCAGGATTCCTCGACATCGAAGTCTCTAGCCAGCATACAAAGCAGCAAGAAAACCTTCAAAATGCACTTCACAACCAGCTCCGTCGCCCTCACCCTGGCCCTCGCCTCCTCGGCCCTCGCAGCCCCCTACAACAGCCCCCGCGCAGAGACAACCACCGCTCCCGCTCCCACTTCCACTCTATCCCTCACCCAGCAGCTCTTTCTCGCCGACACGTAAGTCCCTTATCTCCTTCCTGAATCTTCTCTCTCTCTCTCTCTCTCTCACACACACTAACAAAACCAAAAACCAGCGCCGCAGACCGCTTCAAGCTCCTCCCAGACGACAAGCAATTCATCTTCGACTTCAACCAACCCCAACAAAACCCCGGCAAAGGAGGTGAACTCGTCGCCGCCAACCGCAAAACCTTCCCGGCCCTAGTCGGCACCGGCGCCGGCATGGCCGTAGGCCGCGTCGGCCCTTGCGGCATGAACACCCTGCACGTTCACCCCCGCTCCGCCGAGCTCCAGATCGTCGTCAAGGGCCGCCTCATCACCGAAATGACGCCCGAGAACGGCGTCGTCCTGGCGGCGGACGGGAAAACCCGCCGCGCCATCCGCACCGAGCTGGGACCCTTCCAGATGACCCCCTTTTACCAGGGCTCTCTGCACACGCAATTCAACCCGGATTGTGGCGACGCCGTGTTCGTGGCGAGCTTTGCGTCCGAGGACTTTGGCACGGGACAGGTTGCGGATGAGACGTTTGCGTTGACGGATGATGTTATTGCTGCTACGTTTGGGCAGAGTATTGCTGGTGCCGATATCGATCGCGTGCGCAAGGCTATTCCTGCTAGTATTGCGCTTGGGGTTGACGAGTGCTTGAAGAAGTGCAACATCCAGAAGCGTGCTTTGTAAGCTGATGGGAAAAGCGCTTGAGAGATATTGATGGTGTTAGCTAGGGTAACGTTGTTATTGATTGCTATGCAGAGCATGGCGTCTTGCATCTGGCAAGCGAGCATTTGGTTTGGGATTTGGATTATTGCATGGGCTTTGGGCGTTTTGCATTGTCATTCTTTCTCTTTCTGTTTTCTTCCTCCCTCCTTCCCTTCAGCTAGCTTTTGCGGCTTTATTCTCGTTCGTTGTATTTAGATTTTGGTGAGCACCTCATTAGAAGTACGTAGCATCGTGGAAAAAATGAATTACCCTGTACATACGCGATTGACTGGTCCCGACCCTCCATACATGTAGAAGACTCAAGACGATGCCCTGCGACACACCACTCAAATCAGAATCACATCTCTGTCGGGGCGTAATCATCCACGCCGTACCTCATGACACCGTACAAGCTCACTGCCGTCATGCTCTAGTAAGTGTTGTAGTCAGGGGCGGCTTGTTGCTCTCATCTTGCTTCGATATGGCCCTCTGCTCCTGGTAATTGAAGAACGAGAAATATTGGGATAAATACACGAAAGCGATGATTTGAAACTGGGATCGAGGCACTTGGATCTCATTGAGCATGAACATTCGTTGATTGGTTGGACCGGACCGTACGGCAAGTGACAGGCCTAGTATCTCTCGATCGAGGTCTGAACTACCCTAGAACAGACATCAACGGACGCTCGACAAGCCGTCATGTCTTGTCCACATACCACTCCACATCACCCCCTGTTGCTCTCGGGCAATACTCATCCACGCGTTCTCCAAGCACGTTCTCGCATAATACAGTTCCCCACATGGAATAAGATTTTCCGGTCCTAAATACCCCCGCTCCCCCATGTCATGACCGATGTTCCATTTCACATAAAAGCTTCCTCCACATGTTTCTCGAATAATATAGTATAAGGTCAAAATAATACGTGCGTAAATGGGTATAGATGAGAAGCAAGCCGATCCGAAAATAAGTAAATGCTCCTCGTTAGAGAAGCCGAGTAGAAGATACCCGAAAGAAAGCTTTGCCTGCTCGTGTGGTCAACACGAGAATGCTAAGACAATAAACACTAGACTGTCGCGATAGTATCGCGGGAATTCGATGTATACGTCCAGATAAGTTGTTATGGATGAAAGTGCCATATGTTACCGGCGTATATGCAAAACTTGCCGCATGGTCGTAAGCGGTGAATCGAAACGAAGAATTGCCAGCAGCGCAAAAGGTACGTGGCAAGCGAGCTTGCCCAGGGGGTGGGAAGAGTACATCCGACCGAGCGGGCTGGTTCCGAGACAATCGAGGTCGGCTGGTGGCAGCAAAAGGACGGCGCTGCGTCCTGTTGACAAGCATGGACGTGGAAGCGAAGAACGGGCTGCTGCTGCTGGCTAGGGTGAAAGAAAGAATGCGACTATCAACTGAGCACACTCAGTAGAGGAATGTGGCTGCGACGAAGGCGATGACGAGGCCGGCAATGGCACCACCGCCTTGCCTAACACCTTCGTTCTCCTTAGAGGTCGTGGCGGGTGCTGATTCTTCCGTTTCTGTGGCGGTGGCGGGCTTGGAAGTCGTACCATCGGAATCGGAGGACGTGGTTGTCGAGTTGTCGTTCTCGTGGAACATGCCGGCCATGACAGTCGGGGCGCTTGATGTCGTCGAGGAGGCGGAGGTAGCGACGCTGGAAGCCTTGGAGCTGGAGCTTTTGACAGCCTTGGAGGAAGGCGCAGCGGAAGAGGACGAGGGGGGCGTCGGCGTCGGTGTAGGCGTAGGAGTAGGAGTAGGAGTTGGTGTGGGAGTCGGGGTGGGAGTGGGCGATGGAGCGGCGGAAGACTTGGCGACCTTGATTTCAACCTTGGTATCCTTCTCGTCAGAGTCGTCGGAGTCGCTTCCTCCGGATCCGTCAAGAGGGAAGACGATGATGCGGCCCTTCTTTCCCTTGGGGACAGTGACAACACAGTACTTGGCATTGCCAGCGCCGGTGCCGGCTTGGTTGCTGGTCACCTCCCCAACAGCATTTGCAGAGGGGTCAATGGAGCAAGGAGTGCCATTGCAGCCGCCATCAGGGCACTCGATCCTGACTCCGTAGGTAGGCTTCGTGTTCTTGAGCGCGGAACCCTCCCAGATGGGGTTGTAACCGAGGGTGACGAAAGTTCGGCCCTGACCGTCTTGGTTGGCTCCCGCGACGTAGGCAGCCCAGTTACCAACTGCCTTGGAGGAGTCGCCCCAGATACAACCCTCATCCGTAACTCCAGGCGGGTTGATGTAGTAGCTAAATATCGTTAGTCTCTTCATGTTGACCCATATTCGAGACAGCGAACTCACTGAGCACTGGTGCTGCACCAGTAACTAGGGTCGGGAACAGCAAGAGTGATGGACTTGTCAATGACGCTCGGAATGAGCATAGCCTCGTTGCCCGGCAGGACAGTTTGGCAGAAGGACAAAGTCTTGCCACACTTGTTGTAGACCTCAACGGTACCTGCTCCATCAACGCAGTAGGGAGAGCCCTTGATGGGCTTTGAGGCCTTGCCATCAGAACCACAGTACAAGCCACCGTTCTGAGCTGGTTAGCCTGCGAGCTACAGTGCGAGAAGTTGGTGAGGTTCTTACCATGGACGAGGGGTACGTGTAGGTCGAATCAGGTTCCCATTGCGCCATGACTTTGCCGGCTTTGCAGGCAATAGGGCAGTAGCTTCCTTCAACACAGGCTTGATCGGGACTCATGGCAAAGCCATTGTTCATGGCACCGGGGACCTTGACCAGATCGCCATCGCTGGGCAAACTGCAAATGGCCTTGCCGTCAGAAGTTCTCTTGATGACATCCCTCTCAGCAAGCGTCTCGATTTCCTCGTTGGGGCCCAGACCGGACTTCAACTTGTGAAGGTGACGGTGAGTACCATCATGAGCTTCGGCGGGTTGGGCAGAGAATAGAATTAGAGCCGAGCCCACGGCAGCCTTAACGGTAGAGAGCTTCATCTCGGAAGCGGGGTTTCGTCGAGAGTCGACGTGGTTTCCTCTAAAGACGGTTCAAAAAAAAAAAAGACAGGATATGATTCCTGATGGTCGGCGCGTCGCGCAACGTGGTGACAACGGCGGTCGGGTTTGGAGTCCGGGTTTGATGCTATAACATGGAAATGGCGAATTAGAATAGCTACAGCGCGTGAGCGTGTTGGATTCGTAAAGAACGTGATGTCTTCGAAAGCGAATGACTAGACAGCGAATGTCGGTGTAAAGAGCGGAACGTCTCAAAGCAGAGACTGGGCAAGGCGTAAGGATGCGGTGCAAGGACAAGAGAAAGAAAGAGGAGAATGAGCGAGGGTGGAGGTGGCAGGATGGGTCGACGATAAAATGAGAGAGAGCAGCAAGGTATCCGGGGTGGGAATCGTTCAGCCTACTGTGGTAGGGGGCCCATCTGCCCGTCTCCTCTGGGCAAGCCGCAAAAGGCAGAGAGGTGCGTTGACGGAACCTTGCGCGCGATCCTCACCCTGTTGGCCATAACGGGGGGAGACTCGAGGGGGACCTGGGTGGACCAGGGCCCTTTGAGGGGCGGGCGCAAGGATTCTGGCTGGTCATGGCGACATTAGGCAATGGGCAAGCGGTGATGCTTGGCTTAGCCGGGGGCGGTTGAGGCGGACAAGCGTCGATGCGACGAGCTTGATGAGCATCGCGCAGTTGGAACTCGGAAGACTCGAAGACTGGCCGGGGGTTAAGGAGACTCAAGGATTCGAGACCCGGGGGGAAATGAAAATGACATGGCTCCTCGGCCTTGGACAAACTCGCCAATCAGACAGGGCCATCATCTCGGCAAAGCTTGACTTGTTCTTGGAAAGAGCCAATGAGAGATGTTGCGCATCCAAGCCGTTGCTGCCGTTTGGAGCCAAACGAAATGAGGGCACCAACGCACGGTTCCCAACGGGGTCCCAGACTCGCAGCCGGGGTCGACGAAGCACTCCAGACTGCGCGGTACGTATCTATCTGTACCTGCATAAGTTTGCATTGTTTTCACACTCGACCAATGAAATCGTGCACAATTTGAGTGTATCCACTGCCTGTCCCTCAGGCACCAGCTCTGATTGGCCGCATCGACCGAAAACTTCCATTGTACGTGCCTTAGCTTAGCTACCCACCTTAAGGTACCTTGGGTAGCTTTTTCCCTTTTCCCTTCCATTTGCTGCCAGTTCCATCGCGTCGTCGACTCGTCCAGATGGAAACTGGAACCATCTCCAGAAAACAGGGGGAAAAGAACAGACCGCACCGCTTCGTTGGTCGGCTAGGGAGCGTTGCCTGTTTGGGCGATTAATGAGATGAGCTTTCTGGCGCCATTGACAATTCGAGCGCAGAGAGGTGCACGCAAGTGACAAATTGGCAGCCAGCGACCACCAAAGCTGGTGAGAGACCGCCGCTCGCAATGTCACACGCGCTTCCTGTCATCCAATCTTAACCTTCAAGCTTAATTCCACGTGCTGTCACGGTAGTAAACAGGCTGCAGGCCATCCGTTGCACTGCATCCTACCTACTTGTACTCGATCCAGACTCGACAGAATTTTCCTACCGCTTCCTGTCTTTAACCGACTGATTATCATTGACTGAGACTGATGCTATGCCACAGCCACCTCCTTGAACTGGAACCCGCATTCTAGTGCGACAAAAGAATGGGCGAGAAAAGGCCGCATGATTCACGTCTTAGGTGGGCAGCGGGCTACGAATACAGGGGAACACAATGTCTCGGACGACTCTCAACGGTATCTTACTGCCGCACTGGAATGCGGCAAAGCGCCTTCTTCAACACACAACGCCGGTAACGCCACACGACTCAGCGGTCTTGCCTTCTGCTTCTGGAAGAAAGTCTCCAATTGTTGCGATATCTAGGATAGTTATCACTGTACCGAGGCGTCTCCGTACCTAACTTACCTGGTCAAGGTACGTACTTACCTCAGATAACCGGAGAGTGGGCCCTTCCTCCATTCTCAACTCCTTCGCGCCCCTTTCGAGCCAAGACTTTTGGTAAGAGGAGTCTCTCGTTCTCTCCTCAATCGCTGGTTGTTGTTGGCGCCTCGCAGGCTCGCACCACTTACCGAAACTTGCTTGCCCTTTTTGAACCTCATCCTCCGCCATCTTCAAACCTCCACTCGGCCACCCCCAGACCAAGACGGACTTCTCTTCCCTTTGCGTATGTCATGTCGTCGACTTGCTGAGCATCCGTTGCACAACTCGAGTCTCTCGAGGAAGAGGAGACGCCGACCCTTGCCCATGTGGGCGTTTTGCATGAGCCTCATGTCATGAATCTTCCTCCACCCACAACCCACGTGCTCCGTCCTTTGCCTCTATCTCTATGGGTGCGCAGTAGAGACTTGACCTGGACAGTGGAAAGAGACCGAGCGACTCCTCGCCAAACGTCTCCATCGGTCCATCTCCATCTCGCCTGGGTGGACGAGCCAACGGCAGAGAACCTGTCAGGCCGTCTGTCAGTCGTCAGCAAAACCGCCGAACGCGATCTATCGACCAAGCCCGTGCGATAGATCTGGGGACGTCGTCTGTCGCCACTCCTTTCTCGGACACTGGTGACGGAGCAAGGAAATTGCGCCTACCAAATTGTGCGAGATTGCACCAGAGCTGATGTGCCCGGCGTCCATTCTAGACCAACTAGCTTTGTATTCGTACACTCGCGGCAGTCGCCGATACGCTCTGTAGTGTTAACCTCCACCGGCCAACATCATGACATTTGCCTCACCCGGCCAGCTTCACAATGTTGAGCTGGAAGCTGTTCCTCCTCGGCCAGCAATTCTTAGGCTCCTCCATGGATACATCTCGTATTTGAAGAGTGGCCCTCATCGTTGCTGATCATTTGCAGTATTGGGTGGGAAGAATCTGCACTGTCGCTCTTCTAGCCATCAACCGAGAAATACGGCCTGTGGCCACATCACGCCACGCCCGCTCTGTTACTCGCTTGGTTTGATGAGTAGGAACTTGAGCAGCGCTGTGCCCTGCGCTAATTGCCACATAACTAGCTACCCTCAGGCTTAGTTGAGCTCTTCAAGAGTACAGTACTGGAGCAACTCTTGACGCATGTTTCGTTGTGTCGGCCCGCTCTAGCAGCGGCTCTCGTATGCCGAAATGGAGATCACTGGCCGGCCGACATCGGGTAGTGGCTAAGCTTGACTCAACAGAGCGCAGAGCAACCTCAACTCCCCTGAAGGTGCCGGCCTTGCTGTCTCGTTGTCAGACCAATCGCTTCTTAACAAACCTTCTGTGATATTGTCGATGGCCTAGTATCTCTCAATGACTATTGAGGACGAGGTTTGTCAACAATTGAATGGCAGCTGAGTCTCCGTGGTCGGCTCGTGGGAATGAGGCTAACCTCCTGTGAGTTGAAGTAAACTAGACACACCAGTAGCTCATCGGCACTGATTTCGCAGTCATCGAGCTAGTCAGGGACCAAAGGAACCATTGGGAGCTTTTGGGGGAACCGGTCCAAGTTCTCAACCATAAGACCCGACCAAGTTTGAGATAAAGCCTGGCACTGCGTCTTTGATCGCGTTTTGCGGTCTCAAGCAGCGGCGAACATATCAAATACTGCTTTCGCATTTGCCTTATTCTCTAAATATCGATGACATCAGTCAGCACCAGTGGCTGTATCGGTGACTTGAACTACTGTTCCATAAGCGAAGCTGATCATCAGTTCCGCCTCATAGCGTTTACATTCAGCAGGCCGGCAATCTCCTTGAGAGCCATGTCTACAAAGTATTTTACCTGGGGCCATAGGGGTCCAGTTTGACCGACTGTTTCCTATGCCTTTAGGTCTTCATCATCTACCTCCTGCCTACTGTCTTGCACATCGCTGCTCGAGCCTCGGTGATTCATACCAATCACAGGCACATACTTCCTCGTGACATGATGGTCGGCTGGACGCTATAGGCAACCAGATCCCAGACATATTCATCGATCTGATGACTAAACCGGCTGGCAAATCGAGGTCCGTTGCTGTACGCAGGAGAGGCTTTGCCGTCGGACTTGCGGACGACTCGCTCGTTGCTGAGCGGGAGCCTGTAGTAGGTTCTTTCCGGCGGCTACGTATTGGTCCTCGTATATGGGCATGAGTTCGTGGTTGAGCGGGGTCTCTGCGCAGTGTCCAAGAGAGGGGATGTCCCAATACTTGCTGTGCCACGGGTCTTGGGCATCTGGAAAGACAATATGCGTCGAATCATCTGCTATTCGCCGGTGCGTTCCGACTGTGGGAAGTTGGTTAGGGTTCACTTGTCGTAACCGTAAGACTAAATGCTCGTAGAAGCTGATCATGATAGCACGAACATGGATGTCCCAGGCGACATCTCCTTCCAAGACCAGGACGGAGGGTAATCCCTTAATTCCTATATGAGTCCAAGACTAAAACCACACGTAAGCTGAAAGGTTTCACCAAGTTTCAGTGGGGGTTTCCCTGATATTGGCGTGAGATCTCCAGCTCTTCTCAGCCTTTTCTTGTCATGTGTCGGGGACATGTCCTTGTCATTGATTATATTGGCCTCGGAGGCCGGAAGAACCTCGAATTGGACACCAAGTATGGAAAGCTTGGATTGTTGCCGCGTCCAAGAGGTCGAAGCTTATTAGCTTATTGATGAGATGCGCGGTCGAGAGAGCGCTACTGCCAAATCATGGACTCGGTCTAATGTAAGAGTGATGTCAGATTTCAGCATTCCAGTACATGCTCATGTAAATTTAAGAAAGGTCCTCGATATCTTACTATTATACCCAAGGTTCTTTCAGCTTTTCCACAGCCATGAGACTTCAGTGTCCGTCTTGAACAAGGAGTAGAAAGTACTACAACCTTAGTAGATCGAGAGATGGAGGAATGTGGGCACAGGAAGCGGGATGGAAGGCTGCTAAGAGCAGAGCGGCTCTGATTTCCGTTGATTGACAGAATGCTGCGTCGTTTTAACACTCAGAGCACAGCGAACGGGTTGACCTCGACCAGACCGTAT